TCCAGCGGTGGCTTTGGCTGTCCTGCAGCCGCACCTGGGCCCACAGAGCAGACGCGTGCCTGGCGCAGCTGCTCCTCTCGCACAGAACGGCAAGTCCTTTGTGCAAGCAAAATGCGTACCTGCGGCTGTGCTAACCTGGGCAGAGTGCTTGGTTTTATTGCTCTTCCTGCTGCTAATCCTCTCAAATGCCGTTTTGTTTAAATAAAACATGGCCTTGAGCAATACACAGATGGTTGCATTTGCAAGCAGATCCAAAGGTTTATAAATAGTCCTCAGATTATTAATTTTTCATTTATTACATTTCATCTACTCTGCAATCAGCATTTAATTTTGCAAAAGAAACTGTTCCAGAGTAACCAAAGTTTCTTTTCACAAACGTCACACGCTTCCTGACATTTTTCTAGTGTTTGGTAGTTTAGAAGTCACAATCTTGTAGGAGACAGCTCGGTGTCACCCATCTGCTAGGCTCACCACAGGGTTGTGGACAAGGGGCTGTTTTCTTTGCCAGGGTGCAGCTACTGGCCTCCTGCTTTCGGAGGGTCTGTGACCGCACGTGGCTCCCATGCAATGGCTGGACCGGGCGGCCCCAGAGGTCCCCCACGCATTTGCATTGTCCCAGGGAGCAACCGCTGTTGGGTGGATCTTCACTCCTGATCCACCACCAGCTACAGCAGCGCTGGCCTTGCAGGTGACATTACAAAATGTAACTGTCAGTTGCACAGGAGACCAGCTAGAGAGGACATCTCGCCCTGGCAAAGTGCTGAAATTGGTATTGCGTGTTCTGAAGACGTACCCTGCTCTGACAGCTGAACAAGCTCTAACATATCGGGTGGGTCAGCTCCTGCAGCCCTTCTTAGGCTTTGGAAGCCTGGGTAGTTTTGCCTACGTAAGAACGTAAAGGCTTGGCATTATGTTTGTGGGGAGGAAGGACAGTCAAAGATCGTTTTACCTTCGTAGAAGTCATAGGTGCACATGGTATGGCCGATGAGCGTGGGAAAGTCAGGAATCTCCTTGCTGCAGGCGAGTAGCTCCTCCGCAAGGTCCTTGTCCAGGTCAGTGCTCCGCACCACCACGTCATCCAGCACCACCTGCTCAAACCGTGGCTTGAAGGAGGAGTCCACCGCCATGTCCGTGATCACAACAGACCCGGCCTCGATCCCTGTGAAAATGAAGGTTCAGGCTAAGCCAGAGCTCGTAACACGTGTGACCTCCTGCAAAACTTCAGCATGACAGAAAAGTCCCTACAGATGTATGTGTGACTGTGGGGTGGTTCTTTTTAGTGAGTAAAACAGATGTGAGAGAATAATTGAAATTCATGCAGTAGCACAGATGTACAACTAAAATGTACAGAATCAGCACACGATGACTGATTGTGGGAATGCGCTGAGTGACAGCGTTTTAATGGCTTCTGCCTTGCAGAAATCGTGCCCCACCACCAGCTTGTGCAGGCATGAGCAGCATCACTGCCTGGGTGGGAGTCCCACCAGCAACAAGGACTACAGGCACTGAGGCAGCCGGAAGGATCCCAAAGCATGAGAGTGACTTCCACTGTCCTGGGTCCGGCTGGGATAGAGTTGTTTTTTCTTCCTGATGGCTGGTCAGGTTTTCTGTTTGAAAAGTGATACCAAACTGTTGTGAATTCAAGGCCTTTGTTCATTACAAAAATGTGCACTCTGCTAAGCCAATCTCTAAAAGTTTGCTGGGTTTTAACCCAGCACAAAGTGTCATCATGTTTGATATTTGGGGACCTGACAAAATCCTCAAATTTAGATGACCTATTGCTGAGGATTTTTTTTATTAATACCCTTTTTGCCCAGAAGAAAGACCATGGATAGCTTACCTAAGCCTCCAGAAGTACCGATGCGTATAATAGTAACGTCTCGGCATTTTGCATGGTGCAGCAGTTTGATTAGTTCATGAAGCATGATGGAAATGGAAGGGATGCCCATCCCGTGCTGTTGGGAGGAGAGAAAAGAAAAACGTCACTCCCTGTGATGCTGCAGCAGGTGACAGGTACGTGACTGCAATGAGCCCAGGGTTACGCTGTGACCCCTTTCCACTGATGAGGCCAACAGCGATTTTTTGAGGGGGGAGAGCCATCTCGGAGTCTTTGTAGTTTGTCCAGGTAAAGCACCTAACTCTTCTGCTCCCCTGGACGCTTCGGAGGCTCTTCTTATCAATAGAGCTGAGGTTCATCCCTGGGGACCAGGATATCGGGTGTGCAGATGGTGTCTCTCCTTCGAGAAAGGTCTCTCCACAAATGCATCCTGATGGTTGAATACTCCAAGACCTTCCCCTTGCGTTGCCCGTCCTTACGCCACATGCTGACTTCCGTTGTTTGTTGTGTCCTGCTCGTACTCTTGGGGCGGTGAGTTTCAGCGAGGACAACCCGAGCCTCCGCTTCTCTGGGTGTCTGCCAGCCCATCCTCGCCACACGCCAGAGCACCTCTGCCCTCGTCGCTGGGCACAAAAGACAGCGGGTAGGTTTGTACCCCTTGGTGAGGGCCAGTTTTGGGGTCAGGTGTTTGCTGCATGAAGCCTCACGCCTTGTGGGCCACCTGTCCTGCGTCCTGGCTTGCATCACCCACCCTGGTGTCCCTCCATCCCCATCCCCAGCACCTGCCTGGCTGCCTGCAGGCTCTCCCTCCGCTGGCAGCGTCCCATTCCCCGTCCTGTGCCGGGGCTCGCGGTGCCCCACCACCCCGTCCCCGCTGCCGCTCCTCTGGGCTGGCAGATGTTCTGCAAACCTCGAGCTGTCGAGGCCGCCTCTGCGTTCTGCTCAGAGCTCCCTCACGTGATCATCTTAGTTTTCTCCTCCATTCCTCAACCACCATCCTGTTCTCGGACTTACCTTTGAAAACAAAAGGTGTTTGGTGGTGTGGGACTTGTTTTTTTCCCCATGAAAAATGCCTCACATTTTCTTAGTTTTGCTATCATGTTCAAAAACCTGAAGGAAGCGTATGTTAAGAAGCACAGTTAATTTAACATACGCGGTCAGTTTTGCTGTTGCTTCGTCTCTTTTCATTTGGCTGTGAGACTGATGGTCTATTGGGCTTGTATCATGTTTTAAATATGAAAACATTTTGCATGTTGTTATTCTGGAACATCAGCCTGACTTATTTGCCAATGCCTGAAAAATGTATTCTCATTGTAAATATTCCAAGCAGGAAACTGTTCCTGCCTCCGGTATGTTTGAGTTCATTTGTGTTTCTAAGCAACTTGCAAAAATGTGACGTTGGCAGCTGCTCTGCACGAAGCATTTTGGGGGAGGCTCGCTGCGTGCTCTGCCCTGCGTCCCCTCGCAGGGACGAGCCTGGGGGTCCATGGCTTCTGCACTGGTGCAAAAGGGGTGCACGGCCCAGAGCTCGGCGTCGGCTTTTCTCCTAGCTGTGCCACAACTGCTGTCAGATTGGGGAATAGCAGAACTTGTGGGGTTTTTTTCCCCTTGGATCCTTTCAGACTGATTCCCTCAGGTTTTTCTGCCGGTCAGGTTTGGTTTGATTTTGTCAGAGGGACCAAATGTGAGCTCTGTTGTGTGAGTGACGCTGTCTCCTGTGAATCAGATTTAAGACTAATCTTGTGCCCGAAGAAATGATGGCAGGACGAAGCCTTGGGGTACAAGCACTCATCAGCACAGCCTGTATTTGCTTTTTCCTTTGTGGAATGCCAAACATATTGCTGCTGTTAAAGAATAATTAATAATAAAGCAAGAGAGCTCATGTCAATGTAATACTTCCACCAATATTTCGTAGTTCATGCATGGTGGGAAGTGGTCTTCGCCTCCGAAATGGCCAGACTGCTGAGCTGAGCAAAATACATGCGTGTTCATTTTTAATGATGCTTTTTGAACTGAACACGTAGGGTGCTGAGAAATACCATTCAAGCAGAAGCAGCTTTACCATGACTAAAAGGCTGCACTGGTGGTAATGGCTGAAAACTGAAAAGAGGGGAAAAATCTGCTGGTGGGTGTTGCGGGAGGCAGAGGGGCAGGAGGGAAAGGTCGCGCCGGCCACCGGGGCAGACGGGGCCCCATACCAGCCCACTGCTGGACCACGCCAGTGGCAGCAGCCCCCAGGGCAGGGGCTGCCGTGAGCGCCCGGGATGGAAAACGCCTGCGGTGCGGTGCAGCACGGCGCGGTACTTACGCTGATGGAGAGCACCGGCCCAGCCCGGTACATGGCGTACCGGTCCGTCCCCGCGCAGATGTCTGCCAGGTCCTCGCCGTCACCCGCCAGTCCCAGCTGCTTGTGCATGAACTGGGCAAACGCCCTCATCCTGTTTGGGCTGCCGCCAACGCAGACGAACTGGATGTAAAATATAAATTTGTTGGTACTTTTTAGCTAAAACAGGTACCGAGATTCAGCCGTAACGTGGCAGTGGCAGGGGGGGGCGGGCCCCGGTCTATTCAGCCGTAACGTGGCAGTGGCAGGCTGCGCCGGACACGTCTCCCCGGAGAGCGCAGCGGGGTGCTGCTTCCTCGCAGGCAATCAGGGGATATCAGAACAACCAAGGGTCTCGAAAAACAGGGGTTAATATTACAACCAAACTTACTCCTTTCAGGTTGTGACTATTCTAGGTCCAGACAGCTGTACAGCTGCACATACTTGGGTATCAGTCCCAGGCCAAGAAAATTTAAAATAATTCAGCAAATTTAAGCTGTTAGTATTCCTACTGACGGCAAAGCAAAACCAGATGTTAGAGTAGCTCGTCATTTAATTTATTCTATCAACAGTGCCAGCTGCAATTAGTGAGCACCGCTGATGACACAGAGACCATAAAGTCAGGGAGGAAAAAGGACAAATCTTACATATTAAGAGGAAAAAATGCTCCCTGAACGTAGGAGGGGGACAGGCACGCGG